GAAAAAGGGACAGGCAGCCCCTGCAACCAAGAGCCAGGGGCTCTGTCTGCGTGGAGCCCGGGACCGTGGGCTCCGTCTGGGTGGCCGTCTCTGAGGTGCCCGGGGGGGGGCCGTAGAGCCCGAGGGGACTCGAGGCGTGTGACACGTGCCCATCCGTGTCATGCTTCTGGTAGGCTGGCTATGGCTGGGACTGTCTACCCTGGGGGGTTCACAGGCAGGGTCTCAGGCCCTCCCGCGCACCCTCCTGCGCAAACTCCGCGCTAACTCACGCACCAGGAGACAAGTGCGCCTGTTTGCACAGCCTGTTTGTGGGGCTCCGGTTGTGTGGCTACCTGGGGGGCTGGGCCAAGTAGGGGCCTGGGCAGGGCTTGACCCAGCCCGGCTCCATGCAGCCACCTCCTTGCCTCTCAGAGAGGGGTTAACCCCTTCCCACCATGGCCCCGCTTGCCTCTGGCTGTGCTGGGGGTCGGCGGGGGCTCCGCGGCTGCTGGGGGGTGTCTGGGGGGCTTCAGGTGAGCGGGGGTGCGGCGGGCTTTCACCCACGCATCTCTCGCTGCTCCAGAGCCTAACTGGGGCTTTTTTGCTGTTTGGCAGGCCCTTTTAAACTGCACGCCTGCGCAGTGGGCCTGCCGTCAGGAAAAGCTGCTCTGTTGTGTCCAGGCAGGTCTATTCACATCCAAGGGAAGCAGTGGGACCATCTATTTGGCACCCCTAGTCTAAGTAGATTTAATTCTGCCTGAAAGGAGAGGAACGGACTAGGTGACCTCTTGAGATCCCTTCCAGCCCTATAATTCACTGGTTCTCAATGGGTATAGTGCATATTTACCTACTTCCCAGAGCAGTGTCACTAATTATATTGATTATCTTAGCTTCTACCTTGATGGCTGCCCTAGCAGTGAGTCTGAAAAGGATTGAGGGGTCATAGCAGCTCCTGAACATGGGCGGCTAGCATGATGCTGTGGCAGATAGGACTAGGGCAATCCTCAGGTGTATAAACAGGGGAGCAGAAGTTGGGGAAAGGTGATTTTTGCCTGTAAGCATCATGGGTGAGGCTGGCATTGGTACAGTGAGAGCTGTTCTGGCATCTGTATCTCTAAAAGGATGTAGAAAAATTAGAAAGGGGATGAAAAGTGCCTGAAGCTTGAGTAAGAATGTTTTAGGAGGACAGAAGAGCTCAATCTATTTAACTTAGCATGAAGACAATTGAGGGGTGGCTTGATTACAGCATAGAAATGATTTTGCCGGGAGAAAGTATCAGTTGCTGAAGGGTTCTTGAATGTAGCTGAGAAACACCAACAGCTGGAAACTGGAGCTAGACATATCCAATGAGACATGAGGTTCAGTTTTTTTAATTGGGATGATTAGCCAATGGAACCGACCGCCAAGGAAATTGGTGACTTCACCATCTCGTGTAGCCAACAGATCAAGACAGAAAGTCTTTTTGGACAACGTGCTTTAATCAAACATAAGGTTTTGGAATCAATACCGAGGTAATTAGGTGAGATTTAATAGCCGGCGATGGTCAGAAACTCAGACTACTTGATCTAAGTGTCCCTCCTGGGCTTCAACTTGGTGGATCTATAGAAAAGCTTATGGATTGTCAGGACCATATCATTGCTGGTCGGCACTAATTATGGGCTTCTTCCTGCAAATGCTTGTTATTGAATTCCTTCAAGTGAGAAATAAGAGGGGGGACGAAGATAAATGGCTTGATCATAAATAGCTTATTTTCATGCAAATGACCCTGGTGCCAATCAAGGCAGGATTATGTTACAAATGGACTATTTCTCATGAGTTGCTGGTGGGTCTATAAAAAGGGTCTGTCCTTCTTATGGCCAAAGGGAACCCCCCTGAAATCCCCCAAGCACAATCCAATCTCTGCTCCAAATATGTAGATATTGGCTTACCAGTCCAGTTGGCCCCAGTGGGAGCAATATATCTAAAATGAAGGCAGGATACCACGGCAGTCTCCTCCGTACATGTGCTACAGATGTTTTGAAGCCCTGGCATCTAGGGTTAAATACCTGTGTAAGCACTTGAGGGGCATGCACGGAGATAAATATAGCTAGTTGTTCTCTCTTTGGCATTGGCTGTAATCAGGGTGAATGTCCATTAAAAGGTTCATGAGGCCCTTGATGGAAATAGCCAATTATAGTCCAAACATTCAGTTCCACTGGTCTAATTGCTTGCTGGCAGAAGGTTTTCTTAGTCGTGGACCTGAGGACCCAATGAAATTGTATGACGAGGTGAGTTAAGTTGGTCCAAGCAGTTGGCCTCCATATAGAGATCAGGGGCAATGTGACATCTGAGGCTTCTCCCAGATTGCATGAGGCTGTGCAGCATGCCCATGCCATGGCCAGCAGTTCTTCTGAAGCAGCCGACACACTGCTCCAAAGTATAAAGGTAAGAGGCCCCTTCTTCTTGCCCTTGTATAACTTCTTCCCCATCCCCCTCTCCATAAGATTGAACAGATTTTAGTCCCCAGAGATCCGGGGCTGGGCTCAACTCACTTTGGCTTGGACCTTGCAGACTGAAGTTAGCACTGGGCACTGTAGTTAGAGCCACTGTCGTGGACTGGGATCCCACTGTGCTTGGTGCTGTGCAAATGCAAAAAACAAAGATGGCCCCTACCCTGAAGAGCATACAGCCCTGGTTATCCAGCCCCTTATTTTTAAACTTCCCTTACAATGATCTAGGCCAGAGGTTCTCGAAATGAGGTCCGCAGACCACTGCCGGTCAGCGAGCTCCATTCATGTGTCTGCAGGAAGGTTGCAGAACAATTGAGAATATCTGTACTTGTAAGGTAAGACTCCTGATACTGAAATATGAGTTGTGTGCTTTGATTTATAGAACCAAAAAAGTTGATCCTCGGCTGTTTTCAAGTGGTCCGCGCAAAAAAAAAGTTTGAGAACGATGGATCTAGACAGTTTGAGCAGCGCCTACTCAAGTTCAGCTTGCAAAGTAACTTGTCTTTTACCATTCTGATAACTTTCTACAACATTCACCTCCACGGTTGAAATGTTTTGCCCTGGCTAGAAACCTCCAGGGAGTAAAACAGATTTTTTTTTCCCATGAAGTTTTGGAATATTCCCTCAAATGGTTTTGAACTTGACAGAGAGTAGGGCAGGGGATGAAGTGGGTAGACAACACCAGTTCTAGGTTTCCACCTCAGAAAGCCACCATCTCAGCTGGCACAAAGTAGTAAGAAAACCTTCCTTCCCCCTCTAGTGATGACTAGACCAGGGACAGAGGACCATGAGCTCTGCCTTGACTGGCAGAGATGGGTCTCCTGGCTCAGACAGGGGAGACTTAAAGTTTAAGAAGAAGTTGTCTCAGATCATGTCTATATGAGACTCCTTACTGTGCGGTAAACTAATTTACTTCACAGTAAAGCGTCGCTGTCTACACGTGCTGGTGGTTACTGTGTAGTAAATTAGTTTACTGCGCAGTAAATTTTCTGTCTGCACAGTAAAGTCAAATAGCATTAATTGCATATGTAGATGCACCCCCAGTGTCTGTTACTGCTGCTAAAAATCCACTTCCAGGCATGGTATTAGAAGAAGACCTGAGCTGGGAGACCTCTGAAAGTCAGGACAAACTTCCCCAGTAGTGGGAAATATGTCCATGCCCACTCTATGGTGTCCCTCTGTCTTCCCTTAGTGATGCCTGGACCACACATAGCAACTGGAGGGCTGGTAGAAAAGCTTTCAGTTAGATTCATGGGATGGGGACAGAAGACTGAAGGTAAGTTAATAGCTGGCCAATCTGAGTAAAGGCCTAGGAAAAGGAGTAGGAGACATGGGGACTTTTAGCAAGGTCATAAAGGGGAAATAAGTACAGCAATCAGCCAGTCCTCCAAAATGCCTTTACACCAATGCAAGAAGTATGGGAGATAGTCAGGCAGTCCTAGTATGCAGACCTGTTTATGAGTCAGCTGGGATCACTGAGGCTTGGTGGGACAGGTGACATGACTGGAATATTGGGGTAAATAAGTATGCCTTGCTCAGGAAGGACAGGCAGAAGACTGACCTGCTGGAAATGCTGGGGTTAAAGCATAACAGGAAAACAGCAAAGGTGATGTCATGGTGAGCATCTGCTATAAACCATCAAGGCAGGAAGAGGCAGGCAAGAAGGATTTTTTAAACAATTCTCTGAAACATCCAAATCATGGGACTTGGTGCTTATGGGTAACTTCAGTCACCATGGGCGCGTCTACACGTTCATTAATGTACCCTAGCTACTGCACATTAAGTTTAGTACTTGGTTAACCAAGTACTAATTCAATGCTCAGTAACTTGCTCTACGGCGCAGTTGCTCTGGTGCATGGTTTTTTCGTGACATCTGCTATGCAGTAGCTTAATTACACTGCACGGTAGTGTATTAGCATAGGTTTTGCCTGGCACGCTACTGTGCAGCGTTAGTAGGCTACTGTGCAGTAAACATCTCACGTAGACGTCCCCCTTTTCCATTGGGAAGATTACGTAGCAGTGCACAGAGAGCCCTGCAGGTTCTTACATTATATGGGGCACCATTTTTTGGTATGGATGGTAAAGAAGCCAACCAAGGGAAAGGAAAAAAATCATGCCTAAAATGCTGAAGTTCCTTCTGTGATAAGGTGGCAGACCTTGGGGATGGGGAGGGAGCAGTGGATGTGATACGCTTTGACTTCAGTCGTTATTAGGACTGTCTCACATCATTCTCACTGCTGAGTTAAGGGAATATTTTCTAGATGAAGTGACTGTAAGGTCTATATGGAACAGGTTGGCTCATCCTGCTGAAAGAACAGTTATCAATGGCTCAATCTCAGGCTCGGAGGAGGTATTAAGTGGAGACCCCCATGGCCTTGTTCTTGGTCTAATACTGGTCAATATTTCCATTAGTGACTTGGAGGTTTCAATGGGGTGTACGCTTAGTAATATGGGTGATACCAACATCTGTGGGAAAGCAAACACTTTAGGAGACACTTTAGGAAGACCTTGACAAACTGGCAAAGCAATCTGAAACAAATAGGATGAAAGGCACCGGGAACAAAGTCGAAGTCCTGCATTCAGGAGGGATCAAGCGCATAGAGACGGGGAAATGAATGGCTAGGCTGCAATATTGCAGGAATGGACCTGGGGGTTACAGTGGACTTCAAGCTGAATATGAGCCAACAGTGTACTCTGGTTGTAAAAAAATGCCAAGAGCATATCTGGCTGTATCAACAGGAGCGTTGTATGCGAGTCAAGCTAGGTAAGTCTTGCACTCTGTTCGGAGGCCTCTCTTGCGAGGGTGAGTCCTGTGTCTGATTGCAGGCACTGTGCTGCAAGTTGATGGACAAACTAGAAAAGAGTCCGAGAGACAGCAGCAAAATGATGAGACCTTTAGAAAAGATGGCACATGCCGAAAGGTTGGAAGAACTGAAGCTATTTACTCCAGGAAAGAGAAAATGGAGGGGGGGATTTTCTAATAGTCTTCAGACACCCAAAGGGTGGTTATAAAGGCCATGACGATCAACTATTCTGTGTTCACAGAGGACAAGGCAAGAAATAATATGTGTAAATTGAGATAAGGTTGAGTTAGTTTGGATACTAGGAAGAACTTTCTGACTGTGAGAGGGATTATGCGCTGGGGCAGATTATGGAGGGAGGCGGTGGACTTCTGGTCGTAAAACGGTATTAAGTGCAGGTTGTCTGGGATGGTTTAGACAGGACTGATCCTAACTTGAGGAGAGGCTTGGACTAGTGACCTCCCGAAGCCCCTTCCAGCCTTTTGTCTCTGTGAGTCTATGCCCCCAACTTAAAATTCAGGCTCAGCAGTGCCTGTGTGTTGCCCAGCACCCACCGCAGGGCACTGAGGACTGACCTGAGTGGGGCTGGGTTGCAGTACTAGTCAAAGGAAAAGCCGTGGCTGGAGAGGATTGGAGACCTGTACCTTGCTGTTAGCAATGCCCTGTCCAGGCCTGCAGCAGATGTGGGTAAGAGCTTGGCCAATCGAGCTTTCCCAGCTGAATCGGGGGTGTTAGGAGCTGATGCTTCTCCTGGGCCAAACCTAGACAAACCCCAAGTTACTTGTCTCCTGTTCAGCTTTCTTTGTTCACCCCTCTTTTCCACAGTCCTTTCTGTTTCCTTCACCTCTGCTTCTCTCTTGCCTATCCTTCCTGAACACTTTGTACCCATCCATGACAATGCT